AGATGCTTTCCTTCACATATATTTTATGTTGTTACTTGTTTGCAGTAAAACTTAAGTTCACATTTAGCAAGGCACTTAGGCCACATTTCATTTATATATATATATATATATATATATATATATATATATATATATATATATATACACCCCTGAGAAAAATGACTTCTGCTGTCTCCATATGAAAAATTGCTCTGCAATACCAAAAGATTGACAGAAGAAAAAAATCAAGTACTGATATGAAGGAATGGCAAGCTTGTACCAGAACATGACAACTCACTTTAGAAACTGTTGTTCTGCATAGGTAAATGTGTGCATCACTGGAGATGTGTGGAAGATGTCTTTAGATCCAACATCAACACAGAGCTGTTCCATCATAGCAGCCTGCCACAATGGGTACACTACAAAATTCCCTACAGCATTGAACTGTGGGATTTCTGCAGAAGAATAATTTTGGCCCTTCAAAAATGCCATCAGGAAATCCAAACTGTAGCTCCAAAGTAAAAAAAAGCCTCTTGAAAACAGGGCACAGAAGAGGATAAACAGGACTGTAACAAGAAAACTGGATTTCTACACTTAATATTTTTATAAAAGATACGTTACAAGCTTATATTGACCTGTAACATTGCAGTCTTCTTGTCATTTATTTTTCTACTTATTCAAGCAAAGACACTTCTCCAATACAGAGACCGAACACCAGTTTTGCACATCCACAGGGAGAAAATGAAAAACTAGTGTTATGCTTTCACATATGGAACATATACTTCATGAACACAAGTTCAGAAGTTACACACAAGGAATTTAACAGGGCTAGAATGTCTTAGGAATACCTTGGAAAAGGCACAACACATTTGCATGCATCCTAGCTGAATAAACCACTCATGCATTTTTATCTACTAGCTTTCCTAGACCGCTTGCTTATCAGTTGATTAAAAAAAAAAAAAGAAAAACATATGAAAGCCCAGGAAAACTTCTAACCTCGCATCCAAGATGTATTGACAAATACAAAAATTGATCTGTTTTTATTGTTAGCTGTTAGAAAATTATATATCTCCTTTAACAACTCACTTAAACAGTAGCACAGGTGGAAGAAATTAATCTATACTGATTTAACTTAAGATTTTTTTTCCAAATATGTTTTAAGAGTCCACCTTGGATCAAGTGCAGTATTTAATACAGAACCATTTGACCAATCTACGGCAGGGAGACAGAATAATCCAGTAAATATTTCTCTTTATAACCAGTAGTATGATATGTGAAATATGGATATTTAAGCCTCATGACACTGAAGTTTCTAATAACAAATATAACGCATAATTATATCATAACTTAAGCTAACATTAGTTTTTTACTTAAATCTTTGGCTCATTTTCTACTTGCTAAGTTCCAACAACAAGCCCTCTACCTCTGGCAAACTTGTTCCATCTTACAGAGTTGGTAACTTTTTCAATTATCAAGGCAAAGAATTCACCTGCTTCCTTGAAGTACAGCCAATGAATCTTTCTTATAATGGTCAATTAGGAAAAGACTAACTTTTCATTTCACGATAAACTAGACATTTATGTCCTTGTCATGACTGCTTCCTGTGGAAAAAAGAAAGTGCTTCACAGGTCATGATGAAGAAGAAGAAACCAGAAGACAACATTTCTTTTCCACTACCTTCTTCATGATTCTTTCCTGTTTTCTTCATTTTTTTTTATTTAATCCTTTTTTCCATGTCACTGGCTTAATTTTACGCATTTTAATGCAGCTGACAAATCAAAAATTTTTTATGAAAAAAAAAAAAATCATAATCTCATGTGCTAATAAAATGTAAAAATCAATATGAAAACATATCTTATGTCAACTAATAATCATAATTACTGTCTTAGCTTATCTAAGAAAGACCTGATTGAAGAGGCTCATAAATTGATCCAATTTCACAGCCTGCACAGACTTTCTGGTGGGGTTTTTGGTTTTTATTTGTTTTAAGAAACACATCACTATAGTGCTTGTCTATTGTCTCCACTTAAAATAAGACATACCAAGCCAAAGAGTCTGAAAAATCAACAGGAATTTCTGTAGTAGTTGGCAGTAACCCATAGCCTAGCACACTGCCACTAATATTACCACTTAACTTTCTCAGACTTGGTTTTTTCACAGTTATATGTCACCATACTCACTAGAATTAGCCAATTCTGGATTGGTAGCCTAGAAAAATCTAAAGTATGACAGATAAGAGCTGCAATCACTTCAGTTTAAATAATATTCAAGCATCACTTCATGTACACCTTTTGATGCATTAAAATATCCACCTTAATCTTTATGTGCACTAGGATCAGATCACCCCGTGGACATTGGGAATTCAAGCTGGTGTAAAAAACTGCTCCGCAGACAGTGGCACCCTTTCCAGAGGTTTTCTGAGGGAAGCTTTAATTTGTGCTTAGAGCTTCATGGCAGCCCTACTAGCAAAGGTGCCTTGGGGACATGCTGAATTCATATTGCTGTGACACGCAGCCCTGTGTGTGTGCAGAGGCCAAATCAGTCACAGGTAAGACAGATGGATCAAATGGTAGCATCCTCCCATCAGCTTTTCTATTATCTGCCCCACTTTGTGCAAATTTCCTCCAGCTTCCCCAACACCTCTTGCTTTGCTGTTCTTCCTTAAAACATGGGATGGGGATTTGTCAAAGTCAATGAGCACTTTATTACAGTGAGAGTGCTCAGTAATGAACAATTCAGCAATTTAATGAGATTCTGTAGATCTGTCTCCAGCCTGTCCATCAAGTTTCACTTCTATAAAGCACCCTGACACTAATCCTCTGGCATACCCAATCTTCACCCTGGGCTGAATATTAGATTCTTCCATGGTATATTGCATTACCACTATAACCTTAGCAAAAATGATGAACTTAACTACACTTGAGGCAATATAGCTGGTCTGATTTGATTTTCTTCTATTGGGTTGACTATGAGGGAATTACTTATTTACTAAGATAAAGCAAGAAACCAGTTTCTTATTGCCTTCTGAATGCCCAAATTGGTGAATATTTATATCTGTCTTTTAATTCATCCTGGGAAGCTGGAATATTTATAAACATATATTTATTCCTGGTTTTACAAAATGAATTAAAAAGATGGATTCACATTGTGCCTGCAGCAGAAAACTAGTTTAAAAAATTCTTCGGAACAGCATTAGTAACCTTTAGAGAGGCTATTATGATAACACTTAAATGGACAGTTTGGAGTTTGTTGCCACTCAGAAAGCAGCATATTACCTATCTCTCCCCAGTATGACCCTGCAACAGAAACAGAGGCTTTGTCATATTTGCCTCATGAAGTGTTCATTGACTGGAGTGCACACAATTAAGAAAATTACATCCAAGTCTTGCATAACAAGACAGACAGGATTTGAAAACTCCCGCTTCCCAAACAGATACTCCTTATGGCAGATTACAGAGGGCATATTACTGAGCAAGTATTAAGTTATACTTGTATGGCTTCCCACAGAAACTCTTCTAGCAGAAGCATGTAGCTAGGGGATTCCACTGGCTCTGCAAAGAAATGAAGATGAAACCCAATCAGCCAATCATCCATGCTCCATGCATAAACTTGTACATCAAAACTTGCTTCTGATAAAGGGAATGTGGGCTAGGACTCCAGAGCAGTGTGCCTTAAAAACCTAAACCAAACACAACCCATCATCATGTGTAGTGTACTGCAGGTTCTGCTGTACAGGCATCCTCCAGGGACTAGGAGAGGAAAAAGTCAAACTTAATTTTGGTGTTTGCAGAAAATATCATCTTTGTAACACAGTCCATAATCTAAAGCCTCAAAATTTTGGAAAAAATATGCCTGCTACATAACTGAAGGGTTATGTTACATTTTCACAATGGTTAACCTGACATTTTTATTTTTTTAAGAATGAATTCTGCATGACATTATTCATCCACAGAACATGAAGAATCTCGCTGATGAATACACATTTGACACTTTGAGAAACTGATGGCATCTAAATATAGTTATTTCCTTAGAAAAATACAAAAGATAAATATATAAATAACAGGGGTTGAAAAATAAATCTGTTTTCTGAATCAGAGTCTTCTCTGTTGGACCAATATAACACACTTCCTAAAAGGAATGCACAGGTTTCTTTTCAGCAAGTTTCCTTCTACCTTGAAAAACACTGAAATACTTAACTCTCTTAAACATGACAGTAAAAAAGATACAGGAAAACATCTTTGGGTAATCAATATTACAGAGATTTCCTTCCACTCCATAGTCAATTTTTACAGACATACGATGGGAACATTTCCAAAGACAGATTTTGGTTTAGTTTTTGTGTTTCTCTTAATAAGCTATGTGTTTTACTCACATTAGGTTTTCTCCCAGCCCATACACACATACACACTAAAGGTCACAACACAATGCTTTCATCTTGTTAATACTTTATGGCTAGCAACCTGGTCCTTTTCTAGATCCAGCTTTTTAAAAGGAAGTGATCTCAGGCTTCTTGCCACAAACCCTCCATTGAAGCTTCCACTAATTTGGAGCAGCACTGCCTGTGTGATGATTCTCCCATTTGCTTCAGGCAAAGTCAGCTGTGGTGGCCCAAACAATTTCAGTGACTATTGAAGTTATACAGCTAAATTTGTCTGAAGTGAATGAGAGAGACTGCAGAAGCAGGTTTGCCACCAGACTCATGGCACTAGCCTCATCAGAGGAAATTAGCATGCATCAGCCATCTTTTCCCATCAAAGAAGTTGGATCTGGAGGAAAATCTCTGGCTGTATTTAAGTAGCAGAAGTAAAACAGCATGACAAATTTCTCTTTCAAACAAAGTAATTGCATTAACACAACACAACATTTTTAGAATTTCATTTAGAAATTTCCCTCAGTTGTTATTCACAGTTTTTGCTCAAGTGCTTATTCTCCCTCGAGATTGCTCCAGGGTTTCAAAACAACATATTACTGCTATGGTTTATAGAGTGTCACACATTCTGGTTGTTCACCAACCTCCTTACCTGCCAGATTTGTTCTTCACTGAGTGAAGTGAGTCTATCGCTTTTAAAAACCTCTCGAAGAAGACAGTATGGGAGTGCCAGAACTTCTTCAGGATGACTCTTCAATAGCTCAGAGAGATGTTTTACTAAGAAGCCAATGACTGCATTCTCCAACAAAGTGAGGTTGAAAAGATCCGCAAGCTTGTACAGGTCCAAATAATTAAAGCTATTTAATTCCTAAATGGATGAAGCAAACAAAATACACGTCACAAAAATATCCCAAACAGAAAGAGAGAATATAAAAATCCCTGGGTCTCAGATAATGAAAAACTGTTATTCCTTTGGAGTTGTGGAGAAGGAAGGCAATATAACTTGGAAGTTAATTAACACAGCCTCATTCAAAATGTATATGTGTTACTGTTGCATATGCAAATATATATGATAGTACTAATTTATATTGCAACTCCTAAGGTTATATATGCATGAAGCATCTGTAAGAAATATGGATTAGTACATAATATAATAAACCAGCATGATTTACACTGTATGTCAAGAGCTCACGGGAACTAACAAGTGGATTTAAAAAACGTATTTTTTAACTACAATGGTTTGTTACACAGCAATTGTTTGTTCATTGTTTACTGTTTTGATTGAACTAGAGCACCTGTGTAGCACAATTTTTGTTCTATGAAACCTCACAAAATACAAGATGCTGGACTCTATTTTATTATGCATTAATTTTTCCTCATTGAACAAATAAACCCTTTTTTTCCTCTAAGTCTCTAAACCACTAAAGTCAAAATACAGTGGCTGTTGACCTCCTACTCCTTCTCCCTCTCCTTCTAGCAACTGAAAATGTGAGGAGAAAAAAGCTATAGTAGCTCAAGGCAGGAAGCTTCGCCCATCCTGCTATCAGATGACCGATATTTATGGGCTAATGTTTTCAAATTGGCATCCCTCATAAATTAGTAGCTAGACGACTAACTACCGCTGTTCCAGACCACACTGCTCCCTTCAGGGAACAGGCCAAGAATTCACCTCTATTAGACAGAAGTACCCGGTGCACCTGGGAAATAATCGTGTTTACCCGCTTCCTCTGTTCTTGCTGCGTGCTCACACCTCTCCTCCTCTCTCCTCCGCAATCCCGGTTTTCATCTTCCAATTTACCGCATTGCTCCCTATCAGCCGCCTTCTCCTTGACCAGCCCCATGTGTGAGAATGACAAGGAGCCTCGTCAGTCTCACTTTGCTGGTGAGTTAACACAGGGACTGGAGCAAGGAAGAGAAACAGACTAAATTAAGTCAATTTCACTTTCACTGCTCTGCTGGATGGAATGGCAGCACCAAATGAAACTGACAAGAAATCTTGTAAATGTCAAATGAGCTGCACGGCTGGCAGATAGAGCAGAGCAACAGGGAAGATGGGAAAGTGCGAAGAGGGGTTTTTTTGGAATGTTTTATGGACTACATCTCGAACGTGTGAATTGGGTGCCTGTCCTGATGACTGTGGAGCTGTTTATGCATATGCAATGGAGAGTGGAGAAAGAATTTTTTAACCTGCTTAGAGGAGTCAGTACTGGAGAAAATGGCATCAAATTCATGTGGAGGTTCCTGCTTGTTACATACATCTCCCAGTCTGAATAGTTCGCCTGCCCTAGCAGAGTTGTACACTAAAGATAAATCCTATTCATTATCTTACTTAGACTCCTGCATAAGAGTTTCCCATGGTTGTCTTGGAGAACAAAGGTAAGTTCTTTACATTGTCAGAACAAGCACTAACAGTCATCATCCCAAAAGCCACAGCTATTCTAGTGTCAGCTCCTCCTCCCGCTAACACAGAGGAGGTAAGGATAAATCTGCAGTTGCAGAAATAAAGATAAAATAATTAATTTTACATGAAAAGTATCTGGTCCATGTGCTTGCTTGGTGATTTAGTATCTTCAGATCACAGATGGCACCTCACAGCCCCACTCCTGTGATGGCCATGCAATGGTGACAACAACACATAAGAGTCTAATCAAAGCAAACATCACAGTATTTGACAAGCAACAGCCACAGTTTATTGTCCCTAGTTCAGAAAACTATCTTTTGAAAGAACTCACTGATTGAATAAATGCCAAATTCCAGAAAGAAATTTAGAAGAGCTTAATGTGTATTTATTGAGCTCTTTTGTGGTCAATGGCTATGTCCAGGGACATAAATAAATAAATAAATAAATAAATAAATAAATAGTCAAGCACTGTGAGCTGAGGATCAACAGTCCCACTAAAATACGTGCCTGGTCAAACCCCACTATGTGTCAGTTGAGAAGAAGAGGTGGCTTTTAACAGACTTCAGAGGAGGAAAATACTGGAGACAACATAAAAAAATCCTTATTAGAGAGAACCAGTAATGAGACACACAAATGCAATCTACCCCTAAAAAATCTTCACATTTTCAGTGAAATCTGAAAGATACTGGTAAGCCTTCATTTTAGGTTTGAATATTTTTCATGAGCTCTAAACTCCCCTATCCTCTTAAATCACCAACAATCAAAGTTGTTTTTATGAAAGCTGTCTTACAGTTGAAGAGGCCAAATGTACTTATGGATGTATAAATAACATCTCACCAGTTATTTATACTGCATGTAGTAACTTATTTCAGATGCTTATTTATGTATGTGGGCTTTTTTTTTTGGGGGGGGGGGGCAGGGGGTTATGTCTTTACTTATTTTCATTGCTAAGTTTCTTTTGATGCTTTCTAACATAATGTGTTAGTTACCTGCTGAACTTACAGTCTATTTGTTAATGAATACTGAAATTGTGTTGTGTTAAAAATGGCCCTCGCCTGGAATCAGTAATGTTCATTTCTGATTTTACAAGGTTATAGTTGATCTACAGGTTTATATTTCACAGACAAAGAGGCAAATATTGCATTAGGTTTCACAAATTAAAATCAAGTTTTTACAGTACTATACACTACTGCCTCAGTTATGATCCTAGAGGGCAAAAATGTCACATCGAGATTGCTCAATGTATACCCCAGATCACATAACTTTGCTCTTATAAGTGGTTAAATTTTCAAAAATAGTCTAAAATTAAGTATATAAATTAGTTGCAAGGAAAATGCATCTTATCTTTTAGCTTTAAAAAAGTCCCACAGGAAGGATCAAAGCAATCACTGTCAGCTCAGTTTGATTTGAATACATTTTTCACGCTAAAACCTTAATTGAATTTAAAAACTTTGGTAAGTGGTGAAATAGGTTACTAAACAGGAAATTTAGGTGTGTTTATGAGTAAGAGTACTGGCAGTCTCTGCTTTCCACAGATTTTATTATATTACATGAACTGAGCAACTACAAAATTTTGAAGTAGTGTGCTACTTGTGGTACTTTATTGCACTATATGTTCTTTGAAAACAGGCATTACAAACCAGGCTTATGTAAATTTTTGGAACTTTTAACCCCTTTTTCATAAACTTTTATGTAAATGCCACTTATCTTTTTTGAACTGAAGGATGAAATATGGACACAAGCAGAATTGTCAATAAAAGCTGAAGGTAGTTATCCTATCTCTTCTAATATGATGCATGTTACACTGCTGAAACACATTCAGGCTAAGAAAATACGTATAAAATTACAGGTAGAGCACTTAAAACTAAGTTGCAATAGTTCTGAAATCTCACAGTGAAATCAACTTAGTAAATTGTCCAAATTATTTATCCGTGTCTACTTCTACAATAAGAAACTACCTTAGATCCCATGCATTCTACTCAGCGTGCATCCCCCCACTGAAGGAAGGGAATCTATTATTCCACACTAAGGATCTTCTGATTCAGTAGTATCAACTTTTAGATGCCAAACCAATTCAACAATAAGCTGACATTTAAAAGCCTCATAAAAGAAAATATTTTCTACAAACAAACATAATCTGAAAGATGACAATATAAAATATTCAAAATAAATGATGTGACAGTGTGAATATTTTGATACAGAGGTATATTTTAATATAGAGATATGATAAATTGTCAAACAGGAAAAATATATATAAACACTGTGTTTAAGTTGCTTCCAAAATCATCTTCATTCGTTTATACTTTAGAGAATAATTGCCTTGCACAAGCACAGAAAAGGATGTAACAGATTGATAAATTAGAGTTAATCATAACCAAGGATACAGCAGACTACAATATACCACTATTCCTGTGTTCTGTGTTATAAATAGCAGAAAAAGCACAAGGAGAACTAAGGGGAAAGAATGCATTTCTTTATGACCTTATTTGAAAGATAAACTCCTTGGGGAAATACAATTTATTCAGATTATCAAGACCCTGCTGTGCAAATCTACAGTCTGGGAGCACACTACAGAGATCAAACAATATTTACTTTATTCTGTTGGGTATAAAAGCTTTTAATGAATGCATAATTAAAACAGCAAAAGTATATACAGCTTTAGAATTCCACTGGCAAGCCAAGCCATTAATATCCAAAGTACCGTAACCAGTTGTAACTCCACCTGCTTCCTAGATTACAATACTGTTCTAAATCAAGGTATTAAATTACTAGCCCTGCTGCTGTAGCAGAGAAGAGTTGCATGGTGACACTATTTGCCCCTTTTCTAAAAGGGGTTCAGCCTCTTTAAAGCAAAAAGAACCACAAACTACCCCAAGTGTGAGGTCCCTGAGAGAGGGACATAGCTATTCAAAATCCTTAAGCAGCAGAGGTCTTGACCCTCACCTCCAGGTTCTCTGCAGCTGCACCATTCAGAAAAAAACCTTGACAAAAATCATAGCAAAGATGGACCCTAAATAGATAAGGGATAGCAACAAAATGAAAAATTCTAATGACAAAAATACACTTACCTGACAACAAAAGGGATCAACACAATTTTAAGATTAAAGAAAACCAGTTCTGCTGGGTTTAGCTGTTTCTTTGTATATCAAAAATTTTAGTTCTGCAAAACCTCACACATTTACATAAAAACTAACAGATCAGGCATACACTAACAGCACAGCAACAGACACAAATGTTTCATAATAAGTGTAAGCACAAAAAATATATTTTAGATTTTATTTGAAATTTGCCTCTGTTAAACACCAAAGTCATCCAGTTGAGCCATTAAAAGCATTTTGCTGAAGGCTGGTCACAATGGAACAGCTGGCTCAGAATTTTTCAGTGTACAGAATTGATTACTCTTATTATGAAATAAGTGCAGGCTGCAGATATACTTACAGACAAAGTAAAATATGGCTTTAAGTGAC